AGATGGAAATCCGGGAGAATGTTCGAAATTGATAATATCCTTTTCCCCTTTTCCATGCGCCCGGTAAGATGAGACCAATCGTGTGTTCTGCAGAGGTACTTACGTATTGGCTACCCCGTATGTAGTTAAGAATAGTATTAATAGGCCTCGCCTTGTGGACTCGATTCGAGTCCAGCTCGAGGACTCGACTCGACTCGGCGCCCGGTTGGAGTCGGCGCCGGGCCGAGTTGCGAATGAGAATGGGAACAGTCGAGGGAATTGGGTTTAAGTTTGTCATCTCGATCCGTTGGAGAGGAATATGGCAATATGGGGGGGATACACTGGGAACACTGACAGCTCAAGGCACCGGGATGAAAGATCGAATGGGGTAGGGCTGTCCCTGGCTTCGGCTTCTCCTCATCGTATCGCGGGGGGGTAAACGGTCAACCCTTCCCTCGTACTAGTGCTACTAGTACTACGAGTACTGATACTGCTAACTATGTACTACACGATTGCGGTTACTTATCTTCTTCTCCCAGGGAAAAAAGAAAGAAGACGATAGAACAAAGTGGTCTCCGCACGGCTAAACCCTCCGGTCATTCTCGCAGCTCCACTGCGTCTTTTTTCGGCGTTATGACACACGCTTTGTCTGAGCGGCGGACACAGCCTGTAGGAGAGAACCTGAGCACCGAGGAGGGAGCAGAGATTGGAGTTGGGAGAAGAGAATTATTATCAAGAAAAGGAAGAGGGAGAGAGAGGACGCTGATAGAGGAAGTATCAGGAGATGTGCATGTGAAGGCGAAGGCGGTCTCATGATAATAATGCTAATAATACAATGCCCGGTGACAGGCAGAGGCAGGTATTCCCTCGGCTCAGCAGGCCGAGGAACAAGCAGGTGTTGACGATAAGAATAAAAGAATATGAACTCCATAGAATCTGAATAACTTCTTTCTTTCTCTCTTTCCTCCATTACCCCAATATTTCCTAACCATATTATTACTATTTATCATAACCGCCCAAATTAACCGCGCACTCCAAGCACTCCACCCCCTCATTCCTCCATTCCTCCTCATCCGGTGAACGCAAGCAGAAAACCGGGGAAAACAGCCCAGTCACATCAGGTACCACCCGCGTCAGGCAATCCGGTGATTAATCAGAATGGTCCAACAAAACCCTCCTCCTCCTCCTTCCTTCCTCTCCTCCGCTCGTGAACGACTTTCTTCTTTATCCACACACATCATGGGTGCCTCCAATCCCTCTGTTTTCACTGCGGCTACCGTCGCTGCCGCCCCCGAAGATCCTCTTTTCGGTTTGATGAAGGCTTACCGCGAGGATCCTTCCGATAAGAAAGTTGATCTGGGAATTGGTGCCTACCGTGATAATAACGCAAAGCCCTGGATCTTGCCCGTTGTCAAGAAGGTGAGTTCTCCCTGAGCAGGATAGCAGTATACTTGTGATGACTGCTCCACCCTTGCGTCACCACCATCCCACCTAGTCATACTGGTACTAACACCAACTCCCCTAGGCCGATGATGCTATTCACAACGACCCCTCCTTGAACCACGAATACCTCTCAATCGGTGGCCTGGCCGATTTCACTTCCGCCGCCCAGAAGCTCATCGTCGGATCCGACAGCGCAGCCATCCGAGAGAAACGGGTATGTAGACCCGAATTGCAAATCCCTCCAATCCAATTCGACCTTCCATACGCGTATTGAAGCTACACCCCACCAACACAGAGCTAACAACTCACCCGCATCAAACAGATCTGCTCTCTGCAAACCATCTCGGGAACCGGCGCCGTCCACCTGGGTGGTCTTTTCCTGTCCAAATTCCACCCCCAAAAGCCCACCATCTACCTCTCCAACCCAACCTGGGCCAATCACAACCAGATCTTCACAAACGTCGGCCTCAACCTCGCCAACTACCCCTACTTCTCCAAGGAAACCAAGGGTCTTGACTTCGATGGCATGCTCCAAGCGCTGCGGGCAGCGCCGGCTGGCTCCATCATCCTCCTGCACGCCTGCGCACACAACCCAACCGGCGTCGACCCCTCGCAGGACCAGTGGCGCGAGATCGCCACGGTGATGTGCGAGCGCTCGCACTTCCCCTTCTTCGACACCGCTTACCAGGGCTTCGCCTCGGGCGATCTGGTCCGCGACTCCTGGGCGATCCGCTACTTCATCGAGCAGGGCTTCGAGCTATGCGTCGCGCAGTCCTTCGCCAAGAACTTCGGTCTGTACGGTGAGCGCACGGGTGCCTTCCACTTCGTCTCTGCTCCCGGCGCCGACGCCGCCACCGCCAATTCCCACATCGCTAGCCAACTGGCTATCCTGCAGCGCTCGGAGATTTCCAACCCGCCCGCGTACGGCGCCCGCATTGCCAGCCGCGTTCTGAATGATCCCGTTCTCTTCAAGGAGTGGGAGGATGATCTGCGGACTATGAGCGGTCGTATTCTGGAGATGCGCCGTGGTCTGCGTGATCGTCTCGAGGCCCGCGGTACCCCCGGCTCATGGGACCACATTACCACCCAGATTGGCATGTTCAGTTTCACCGGGCTCTCCGAGGCTCAGGTTAAGACTTTGCGCGAGAAGTGGCACGTCTACATGGTATGTTCCGTTCTGTTCCTACCTGGCTCTAAATTCAATTTTCCCTATGGGTTACTAACAAATACTCTTTTGTACAGACTAAGAACGGCCGTATCTCCATGGCCGGCCTGAACACGAATAACCTGGATTATTTCGCCGAGGCTGTCGACAGCGTCGTGCGCGAGAGTTCCTAGGCCAGCGAGCGATACCACTAAAGCGTTTTCTTTTCTTTCTCTCTATCTCCCTCTCCCTCTCATCTACTCACATGTGATCGGAAAATCGTCTTGTCTTTTTCGTTATCCTACCGTGATCCGTGATCTGCGTGGGTCCGGGAGTGCATCACATGTAAATTAAAATCTACGGGCTCGGAATCTCATACACTGCTCGGCTTTATTGTGATTATCATACGGATTGTTTCAGTAGACTAGACTATCTAGAGTAATGCATCTGTACAGTACAGAGTACTACTTGGCCCTAGCCCTTTGCTATTGGATCCCCTTTAAGTTTTACTCGTCAAACTCATCCGCACCTCATCGACTCCTTGACCTAAATAAGATGTAATTTGTGATTCTGGAATAACTGGGTATGCGCTCGCTCGCTCGCTATGTTATAAAATACACCCCATCTCCAAACCCAACCCGCTCCCTCAATCAAATCTAGAAAATCAAATCCCAAACAACAAGCCACGTACACAAACCAACCGTACCCCAAAACACCGCCTGCGCCGTACTCTTCCGCTCAGTCGCACGCTTCAATTCACGATTCCCGCGTCCAATATTCTCCTCCGTCAAATCAACATCACTAACAAGTTGCGAGATATATTCGCCCTGCGTTGTAAGATGCGTGACGAGCGTTTCCTGTAGAGAGGAGATTTCCACGAGCGATCTTTCCGCGTTCCTGCGATGTATTTGTTAGAGATCAAATCAAATCAAATCAATCATGCGCTGTGGCAGAACGAGACGAGCCAGGCCTGGACATAACGTACTGTACTTTCCCAAGCGTATCTTCATAATGCTTCAACATGGAATCATTCTCCTCAGCAAAAAGCTGCAACTGTTCCGCAGAAAGCTGGCCCTCGATTTCCTTCGAATCAGCCTCGCTCAACACCGCCGCATCAGGCGCAGGCGCAGTCACAGCCGACCCAGCACCATAGCTAGAGCTGTAGTCATGCTTGTAATCATCCCTCCTCCCACCCGCACCACCACCACCACCCTGCAGATCACTCACAACCCCCCCTCGAACCCGAAGCCTTGTACAAAACACTCTTCTCCCTCTCAAGAACCCGTTCAATCCTCTTCTCAACCATCCCCCGCTGAACACTAGCAACGCCCTCAAGCCCGCGTCTCAAAAACCAAAGAACACTCTCCCGTAACGAGGAGAGAGTCTTCTCCCTCTCCTCCGCCTCAATTTGCTCCGCGGATTTGGAGGAGCTGTTGTCCCCATTGCGGTCATTCGCAGCCCAGCGGAGGAGGAGCGCGCCTGCAGCGCTGTGTCCGTATTTCTTGTGTTGGAGTTGAGAGGTTGTTTTTTGGCGGAGGGTTTCGGCGTCGGAGAGGTTTGTTATTGATGATGAGAGGTCTCGGAGGAGGAGGGTTGTTGATGTGTCTATTGCGTCGCGTTCTGGGTCTGTGAGGTTTGATTGGGATTGAGCTTGATGGGGTTGTGGTTGTGGTTGGGCTTGGTTGCGGCGGGAGGGCGTGTTTGTGGAGAGGTATGCGTGTCGGATTGAGGTTAGGTATTTTAGTAGTGAGGCGATGTGGGAATTCTGTAATTGTTCACAATATGTGGTCAGCTGGAAGTTGGATGGGTTGGAGGAGGGGGGAGGTGACGGACGATGCGATGCGCTTCTTTGAGGAATTCATCGGCTGGGGAGGAGTTTGTTGTGGATGTTATTGAGGGTACTTTTTTCGCGGATAGGAGTGTGTTTAGTGCTGGGGTTAGGTCGGTCATTTTGGCGGGTGATGGAGTTGATGGGTGTGTTGGTGTTAGGTGTGAAGTTGAGTTGAGTTGAGGTTGGTGGAGCGGATCTGTCAACAACGTCAGTGCTGCGCTGGCGGTTTCGCTGCCGAGGACTACCTTGCTAGTACCATAGAATTCGAGATTGATAGTGGGAAGAACAACGAGGGTTGTCATGTATTCCTACATTTTGGAAATGTTTAAAATCCAATCTAGCTATGCTTAATTTTTGTTTGAAAATTCTAATAGTAACGCTTTATGATTTCTCACCACCGTGTATGTTTGAGCTAGTCTTTCCCCCATTGTCATTGTCCACTACTACTTGCTGGCGTATGACTGGACATTATAATAAGTGTATACTGTTCGTAAAGTAAGTTGCCAATTTTCATGCTAACTAAAGGGTATAAGCAAAATCAAAATGCTATAAACAAATGCCAAAATGCCCAATGCACAACCCAATCCCTCAACCCAACATCAATCATATCATAGATCGTTCTTCTACCCACACCTGTATTTCAATTAGCAACGAGTCCAGTTCTCAATACTCCTGACCAAGGCCAAGGTAAAACTACCAATTAACTCACCTCCATCTTCCCCATCTCACTCCCCTCCCTCCTAGCAACCTCCCTCGCAGAAGAAAGCAAAAGATCCAAATCCTCCTGATCCACCATAGTAATCATATCCCCATCATCCTGCACCTTCATCTTAAGCGGACACTGAAACCCAAACTTCTCCCGAATCTTCGCTTCAAACTCGGCAAACTCCACCGTCGGCCCAATCATGATATACCGAATATCATCCGGCGCATGCACCTTCGTCCGAAACCGACGCACCTCAGGTCTGCGCGAATTCGCTCGTCTTGAGTATCGCGCCGGAGAGCGCGTTCGTCTTTGGTGCGGAGATGTGCTCGATCCCGGCTCGCCGGGGACTACTGCGCCAACTACCATTTCGAATCCGCCTTCTTTGAGCGGTTCGCCGTCGCACACGTCACTGCCGTATTCGTCTTCTTCGTCGATGTATTGCGGGGGTTGATATCTGGGTCCGCGGCCCCAGCCTGAACTTGAAAGACTTTGCGGACTGGCGAAGTTGTTGTTATTATTGTTGCTGTTGCTGTGGTAGGGGTCTGGCTGGCCGTATTGTGGTTGGAGGTATTGCGGTTCTGGGAAGCTGGTGTCGCTGAGGTTTCGGCGGTGTTGATTTGTTTCGCGAGGCCAGGCGCGGTTAGGATCTTGGCCGAAGCCGCGCATATTCTGATGGCGTGTTGAAGGGCCGCGTGGCTCTGATGCTGTTCTTGTAGTGCCGATTCGTGGTTTTTCTGTTCGTGGAGGCTGTTGTGTTGCTTGTTGCTGTTGCTGCTGTTGCTGCTGGTCTAGACTGGCGCCTGTTCGTTCGAGGTCTAGTCGAGGTGGTCTCGCACTTCGAAGAGAGGATGATCGGGTGTGTGAAGGTCCTTGGGCTGTAGATCCATTGCTAGTGGAGCGGTCGTCTGGGGGTGGTGTTGGTGGGAATACATTGCGGTTGAGAGGGGGTTCTGAATGTTGACGAGTACGACTTGTGATGCCTTTATGCACTAGATTGGTTGCTGCCCATGATACTCCCTCGCGGTCCTCTAGGGCTGCTTTGTCAATGACCATCGGCCTCCATTGGTGGTCTGCACTTTGGTTTCGATCTGATGCGGCGACTAGTCGTGCTTTGCCGAGGTAATCTTTCGTCTTGAGATTTTTGACCTTGGCCGCGTTGGGTCTGTATAAAACCCCTACAGGTATAGAGAATACCGTGTACCCCTATTTATTGAGTCAGATGTCTATACAAAAGGCGAGTTCGGGATACCCGGGAGGGAGGGGTGTATACATCTGCATTCTCGTGGATTGCATCGTCAATCACATTGTGATCCGGCGAGACTTTCTCCTGTGCTGCGAATTTGAGATCCTGCATGCCTGGTTCCATCTGTCGAAGGTAGATATAGCAGAGTCCCCGATTGAACAATACCTCGCATGAGAAAAGGCGGAATTTCAATCCTAATTGCTCATAATCAATGGAGGTATTCCCCCGGAGATACAACAAGGTGTCATTGAAATTGGCCAATGCTTCCTCAAAGTCTCCTAGTAAGAAGTTGGACACGCCTTGTTGGAAATAGGCAATGGCCAAGTATCGATCCAGACCAACCGCCCGTTGATAGCATTCTACCTGATGAGGGTCAGTTTAACCTCCGAGATGGGACTTTCTCCAGCTACACCTGGGCATAAACATACAGCTTTATCATGCTCACCTAGAGTCGCATAGATCACGCCGCAATTAAACAGAATTTTTGAAGTGTCGGCAATCTGGTCAAAGAAGCGCAGTGACTCCTCGAACTCTTGGTTGTCATAGGCATCAAGGGCCTGCACCCATGTCTCGATTTCCTGAATTGTCCATCATCAGTGGCGAGATCTGATAACTTTATTACCGGATTGCTTACTTGTTTGAGAGACATGCTACCAAGACTTCACCATTTAATTTGGCTCGACGATGACCCTAGAAGCTAAAGAATTGGAGGGGTTCTCACCCGCTCAATCCAAGAGCGGTCTATTTCCAGGATGGATGACGTTGATCGGACTAGGGGGAGAGGGGGCTTCGGGTCGCATCCAGGGAAGACTCCCGGCTATTATAGGTGTCGGAAATGATAGAAGCGAATTGGCGGAGATGTGACCAGTCAGGTCCAAAAAGTCGCCAAGCACCGGAGCCGGGAAAATGGTATGGTGGCAAGGTGAGGTTCGTTCTTTAGTGGGATGAGTGAGATCAGTGCGATATTGGGGTGAGTACTAGCGAGATGGAAATGGCGGGGATGGCGGGAACACCCTCGTGAAGACCCGGACCCGGGAAAGAAATCGATTCAACAAGAACCAAAAACGTATTTATAGAATCACGCAATGCCCGCAATGCCAATAGCTCACGAGAAAAACCGGTGGTTGACCGAGTCACATACGGTGTGACTGACAATCTGTGGGGTTGTGGTCCAAGCCCCCGATCACGGCGAGCGGGATGATGGTGGAGTGGTGAAGTGGTGAAGTGATGGAAATGGTCGATGCCAGTGTTATCGTCCGACCCGACGAACTGGAAAGGCTGAGAAGGCTGAGAAAAGACCCCCCCCATGGGAATTCAAGTCGGAATAGGGGCAAAGAAAGAAGCAAAGAACTGCAGAGGGGGTTTCCGAGGGGCAGGGGAAGCTCCCAAGCGCTGAGGGCGTGATGGGACAAAAATAACTTGCGTTACACCTGCAGCATTTCTGCACCTCTCCAGCAATCAGCGACCAAGGATGCCATTTTGGCTCATCTGCGCCTGTGAGTGGGCGAGAGGTTGTCATGCACAAAAGTGGCACCACAACGCATGGCAAGTGCCAGTGTGCTGGGACAGAAGCGTGTGCTTCTATCACATCCGAGTCCTCAAACGCCAAGTCAACTGTTACTGGCCAACTATTGACTACGGAGTAGCTATCAGATACTTGCAGCTACTATACTTGCAGTTGTGTACATGCAGTGACCGACCAACAACTAACAACAGGGGTCCGACGTTGGCAACCCTCGATTGATTGGCACGGGCTTTTTCACGGACTTGGACCATGGGAATGTTGTGCGGGGGGAAAACACACTAGTGGAACTATGAAGCCCAACGAGTTCACAAGTCCCTGAACAGGGATTGGGTAACTTATTCCCGATCATAATCTGCGCTTCGTAGTAAGGGCACTTACTATTGGTGGCTGGGAAATACTACTGGGGGCCAGGAACGAGCCACAGCGCTTACAATGCTTTATTTAGAGATCTGACTAGACAACTCGCTACCAGAAAACCTCCATTGGTCCCTTTCGAGTCAATACCTATGAACGTCAAACCCATATCTTTCGAGTCGGGTCCTGGCGTCAAATTGAACCGAATTCCCAGAAAAACTCTATTTTTATAGTATTATGTTCATTACTAGCAGGGGAGCTACGATCTAAGGACCGGGAAGCATCACCTAAGGGCCCTGACGCTAATGTATGAACCCCTCCTGCCCTTTTTAGCAAATCGACTGGATCCATAAGGACGATCATCAATTTCTGAACCAAGTTTCTGACCAGGAAAATCCCATTGCACGCTACTGATGTCTATCTAAAAAAGCTGATTGGCAGTGACGATCACTCGCTCACTCTACTGCGAGTTACTCAAATCCATCAGGAATCTTCCCCAATGGCACTGGCGACCCGTCGTCTACATAAGAAAAGACGACTCGCTTATACCTTCGGATTGGATATGGCCCTGCTGAGTTGGTGACCTGTAGAACGACATGAAAGTCCGGCGTAATCAACCCCGTCTGAGGGTTCTTCTCCATCGGTGGCACCAGAACACGCACTTTGCGCCCTCGAATGTGACTAGAGAAGCCTGCCGCATTATCATCCAACTGTGGGCTCACGGGGTCATCATCTATGGCTTCAATTTTGACTTTCGGCCCCTTCCCAAAGAAATGAAAGCCGTTAACGTCTCCATAGAGCATCCACGCATAGTCCAGACCAGTCTCCGCATGGGCATGATCCGGGTCGTAAGTGCCGCTAGCATCCAGAATATGCGTCTCGCCCGGTTTGACTTGGAGAATCAGGGAATCCACTCCAACATGGCTATTTATATCCACGATAGGAGGGTGTCCCGCTTCAGCGAAACGATCGGTTAAAGTCCACTGCATACGTGCTGCAAAATCATCCTGGACTGCATCTCGCCATCGCCAGATCGTCGTCTTGTGATCACTATACCGTTTCCCGTCTGCACCTAGCACTCCAAAATCACTCGCATTGTAGAAGTGATTGATGTCGATCCCGTCGTCCCAATCCACCTCAGCCTGTGGTCGAGTATAACGGCCTCCCCACCCACCCCAATCAATGCGGTCTCGGTGGTTGAGCCCATTCTGAACAAGCCACAGAAAAGACGGTGTATCTCCCTCCATACCAAATTTCACAGACGGATAGGCTTCAGCCCCGAAATCTCCGACTTGGATATGCTCTTTCAGCCATGGATTGAGGACTTTGGTTGGATCGGGCCCGTCACCTGCACCGCCGTTCATCCCCAGCCAACTTCCTTGGCCATATTGATTCCATCCGTGCGCAGAAACAACGTAGAAGACGTCTGGATACTTTTCTCGTATCCACGGGCCCGAGTTATCCTGGTCTGAAATGGTGTAGACTCGCAATTTGGCCCGCTCAATGGCCGCTTCTTTTGGAGATGAGGTCTGAGCGAGATATTTCAGTGCCTGGGCTAGTGTATTTACGCCACCCCATACTGGAACATAGAGTAACTCGGATGACTCTTGCAGCGCAGACAGAAGGCGTTGTGCGCCGTTGCTCAGAGGTTCCGAGTCTCGAAGGGCTTTTTTGCCGTAGACCTGTCGATTGGTTCAAGTTATTATTAGCGATATATTCTCCGAAAGCTTCCAAACTTAGCCTAGTAATGCCGCGCTAACTTACGGCTGGTCCGGATGTAACTAGTTTGAGTAGCTCATCGGCTGTTTGGTATTGGAAGTCTGGATTCACATGGTTGTTGAGGTTCTTAACAACCTTCCCATAGGCAGTGATGATGCGACGGATTTCTTCGGGGTGAGTGCTTGAGCGCAGCCAGGTGGACGTTGTTGCGCAAATCCCTCGAGTCTCAAATTCATTGGCATATAGAAGGTATCGGACCAAGGATTGGGAGTCATCGGGCTCGTTCAGCATATCCGTTAGGATGAATATGCGGGGTTTAGAGGGGAAGGTCGCGAGTTTGCTAAGATCCGACATTGTGAACTACTAATACAGTGCGAAAATCACAATGGATCTGGAAATGAGCAGAAGTAGTTTTTTTTTTGTTTCTTTAAGTGCTGGATCGTGGCTTGGGAATTCCTCAAGGCTAAAGATGCCGGCCCCTCAGGCAGCCTTCTGGCTTCCCCACGATCTGCCCAAACTGGCGATGTTTCCCACCCCCACATTCGCGGGGCCCCAAAGACGCACTTCTAACCGGTGACAGGGTTCGATGGGGCAACTATAAGCAACGGCAGTTTTGATTCGGATGTTTCTCGATGCTTCGCAACTGGTGCGGTACTCTTCCGTTACTATCTATCACCAACCATCTTTGAGAAAAGGTTGGGCTATAATGAAGGGTGAAGGTAAAATTCAAGAGAACTTTGAAGTACGTATTGATCTTTGGAAAACGAATTATTGTAGAGCTATGTTCAAAAAGTCGAGTGGAAATAGACGATACCTTCACTCATTCAACATATCTTCATCTCTCGAGGTCCGTATAGTCGTACAAGCCCAAGTGACAAGAACGACTTGATCAATTCATGAAAAATTAGACGTTCAAATTCTTAGTCACACATGTCACAGCTGTCAGACTTTCCCAACATTGTCCTAGCAATACTGCCAGTGGTAGTCCTATATTTTTTATACCGCGCTATCAGTTCAATCCCGCGACATCGTGACTGTGTGCACCCCTCAGCTTTCCCCTAGGCGGATCAAGCGGATACACGCCGGCGGCACCTCGGAGCATAGCGGGTCGTATAGTAATTCGGGGGAAATTGCCAATTTTGTTTCGCCCATCATGACATTTTTCGCCTGTATAACCCTTATATCAACGTACGATCACCCTTCTACTATACCTAGTAGCTAGACATACCCGTCACGTGTGCCACACGATCCGGGCGCCCACGCCAACCCACGACAGGGATCACTCATCAACACACTTGCGCCCTTGTTTCTGCCCCTCCCCTTCAAGTTCCTCCGCCAACTCCTGATCTCCAGAGGATGGGAGCCCCCATAACCATTGGGGACCAGCGGATGCTTCCATCCGATCATTCTCTCTTCCCCTAAGATGGCGGAAATCTACAACACAGACCGCTTCGCGGAGCTTTATTACCCATCGAATACGGCCGACCTCCTGCACCTGGGCCTCGCAGCTAGGTTCATTGCGGGGCTCTTCGAGACCAATCAGGTCACTTACGCCTTCATCGGGGGATGGGCTGTCTACCTGCGTGGTGGACGCCGCAGAACACAGGATATTGATATTACGGTAGCCACCTCGATGGACCATTTGAAGCAGGTTTTGACTGCGCAGTCTCGGTATTTTGACAACTCTTTTCTCCCCTGACCCCTTCTCACATCTCCCTCTCGGCATGATTTCGCTTCTCGACTCGATTCGATTCGACTCGACCAAGAGACCATGATTTCATCAGAACTTCAACCTCAGATTTAGATTTTAACACGGTGCCAGAATCCATTACCCAGTTACCCATGGCCGAACATCGGTCCAGATCTTTATTGACACCGGGCGGAGTTTCGACGGGGAATTTCCCCAAGTTCCAGACTTGGCTGTCAGCATGGATATAGTGATTAGTGGTAAATCTGACCTCTACCTTCCTTGAGCTCCGAACGCAAGTGTTGACATATGTATACATGCATAGGAAATTTGGGCACACCTTCAGATCTTCAGTCATCGCGCGAGCCTATCAATCCATATAGGCCAACTCCCTTGGGATCGCCCGTCCTGGTATTAAGCCTCTTCTTTCAGATCTATGCAAAACTAAATGCATATTCCCGGCGTGGTGATCAACGAAGTAAAGACTTTCTCGACTTGGAATTCCTATTCACTCAGTACGCCGCCCAGGTCCCGACATTTAGGGATTATTACGACGTGGAACAGCGGCGGTACTTTTGGACGCAATATGCGACGACGTATGGTGCATTTCCGGACCAGGTTGAAAATATGAGGTCCCTTTTGGGTCTTTGATCGGCCTACGCAATAATGAATGTTTAAATTCGGGTAGCATAGTACACACACACACATAGTATCAATATAATTATTTCATGTATTTATTTATTTACTGCTTTATTTATCTGTACCTTTCATTATAGTTCATGGTAACATCACTACTAACAAGACATGAGCTTCTGGGTCCATGGGTCCGGAGAGCCCTTAAGGCGAAATCGTGTATCAAATAAGGATTCCGGTGTCTTCCACTCGAGTCGTCCCGTTTTGCTTCTCACCCTTGATTCCCACTTTTCTCTTCTGTTGATTTTCTGTGTTGGGAAATAGTGCACAAATGGCCAGCCTCTTCCTTGGGCGGCCTCTTTGGCTCTTTGATTCATACGGCTCGCCCACTCCAGGTCATTCGGACCTTCTAAATCCAAATACCTTCGTCCCCACTCCTCGGAGACATTTGACCCATCGATGCAGTCGCAAAGTGATACCTCGTCATTTGTGTCCAAGAAACTCTGCATGAGGACCTGCAGCGTCGGATATGGGATGTTATTCATGCTGCGCATGATGCGAAAGGGACCGGAGGGAATATGGGCGTCATGAGCGGGGACAAGGATCACGTAGAAGTGGATGCCTTTGCCTTTGAATCGGTGGTAGGTATGGCTGAGCGAAGAAGGGTGCTGGATAGGGAGCGGAGGAACGGGGTGAAGTCTATCGGCGATAGAGCCACATGCGAGAAGAGCTGCAGCCTCGTGAAGTTTGTCGTCGGGGACGCAGAGATCCCATTCCTGGCAATTCCACCTGTCAGCCTTGCAATCCAGAAAACAAGATTGAAGGAAGAGGAGAGAAGGAGGAAGAAGAAGAAGAAGAAGAAGACGGTCGTACATCTCGGGAACGGCCGGCGCCGTAGAACATCAAAGCTGAAACGCCCACCACGCAGCATTCAATCCCGTGCGCCTCCAGGAAGCGGGTTACCTCGAGGATCTCCAAGATACCATGGCCGCCGCACGAGGGGACCTGATCGGGCGAGTATGTGGGGGCGGCCTCTTCTACGGGAGGGACTGACGGTAGTGGGGTGTTGGTGAATGGAAATTTGGGGGCGAGCATTGCGAGCAGAAGCAAGATGAGGAATCGAGACAGAAGGGGCTCCTCCAAGCCATGATCCAACGTGTGGATTCGATGTTGAGCACGTCGCGGGGGTGGGAAATGCCTTTGACTCCACGTGATGACTTAGTCACAAACGTCTAGACCGAACGTTCGCCACTTTGCTTTTTGCTTTGCTTTTGCTAACGATGCAAGTAATTCTGAGCTGTCATTTTATGTGGGGTGATGGTTTTACAGAAATTTGATAGCTCATATATGTACTCCATACTACTCCGTGGGGTACTGTGTAGCACACATGGACCAGCTGGGGAGTCTGATAAACCGAGAACTTTTCAGTCGATCTGCCCCACTCGGTGATTAATTCGTCAGCCGGCCCTGTGTCGATCATACGCATGCATCGTCTAGCCGGTCTGTGTATAGTACATTTTACTAGTACTAGTATAGAGTAGTTTAATCTTGTCGACCGTGGAAGGTTTCTTTCTGAGTTGATTGCATGGCTGACAGCCAATATAGCGGGCATGATTCACCATTCGACAGCCACCCACTGGCAGGTAGCTAATGACTCGGATATTGAGTACAAATTGTACTCAAAATATCATAGCAAATAATACCATCTGGCACTTAAATTTTATAGAAGATCATATCATCATATCACCGATTTGACCATCCAATCTGTATATGCTGGGTATTTCAAGCATTCACCTCGTAATTCATCATCCACTTGACTTAGTAGTAGCTCGCCAGACACTCTACGCCATTCCCTGACCAACCTGCTCTTGTCTCTCCTCCCAAACATTCTTACCAGAGCAAGAGCACACCATCTTATCATTATCCCAAACCCCCGCACTGCGCGCAATCACACCAACCAAGGTATTCTCATCCTCACGCTTGAACGGTCCCTCCTTACTACCAGAAACAACCATACTCCGACCAATCAATTCCCAAATAGCCACCGGTTGGTCCAAAAAGACATTACCCGACCCTTCCGGTCGACGTCTACAGAGCCAAAGACTCCACGCGGTTCCTTCTGTGCCTCATCCGAGCCGAGAACCTTGGTCTTCAGGGCATCCCAGATACCGCCCGTCGACGCCGCGCCCTGCGAAATATCGCCAGCTTCGCGAATCGTGGCGTGATATTTGCCTGGTGCCAGGCCGTTGATTGTCAAGTCGACTAGCGTCATGTTCGGGGAGACTTGCACCATGCGGGCGAGGCCGCGGACTTTATTGGAGACGCTGTTGGAGTGTGTTTCGAGGATGCAGACGGCGGAGCCTATTATATCAGAATCAATCAGTTTATATATCCATGAAGAATTTGACTGGGAAGAAGGGAATGGTTGTAGCGCTTACTGTTTGATGTGCCACTGCCGCGGAGAATGGCATCGCGGCCGGTATCCTGGATTGCGGATACGATGGAGCTCGGTGGCGCGGTGCCTTCGATGAAGACCAGTTGCTCTTTGAGGTTTGCGTCAACCTTGTTGATTCCTGTTCAAATTGAAGGGTTCTTGTCAGCTCGGTGATTAACAAAAATCAATATGCGACACGGCGGGGGAGGCAATCATACCGTCCAACTTATACAACGAGGTGGAGACGTGCTTCACACAGCTCTCGCAGGTCATTGGGACCGCGAAGGTAGTCTTAAGTATCATTTCCAGTCAGCGCACATTGTCAATACAAGCTCTTCTGTATCTGAGCAAACCCACCTGGAAGGGCTCAATCATGGCGGGGGTTGGGGTGAAGTAGACCGATGCCGGAGGAAGGCTTTAGTTAATGGATGGGGGTGCAGAGGCCGTGGAGGAGTAAATATAACCAAAGAATGTCAGATCAATATGCGGGCCAAAAGAAGAGAAGAAGTCAAGAAGCATAAATCATCAGGGACCGCTAAAATGAGCAATGCTGGACGGGGACAGGAAGGGCGGGGCGGAAATTGGATTTCAAATCGGAGCTGTTCTTCGGCCCGTTTCTTCCCCAGAACCGAAACGTCATTCCGAATCTCCCTTTTAAAAGTCAACCTACCCCCTCTCAACCAACGCCCACCATGTCGGCCTCCAAATCGCGCTGGGCAGACGACGACCCGGAGACAGACGCAATTATCGCCCAGCGCAAACGCGAGAAGGAGGAGAAGCGACGCGCCAAGGCGGAAAAACAGCGCCAACTCGAGCAAGCTGCGCCTGCACAATCTGCCAACGACGCCCAAACAGCCAATGGGGACTCAGGTCCTCCAAAGAAGCGGAGGCGACTATCGAATGACCCGGACGGAATTTCATCGGCGGAGGAGGTTGCACGGAGTGAGGAGCAGAAGAAGGTCTCGAGCCTGTTGAGGTTTCCGGTGCGCGAATGGGGACCCTGCAGGCACGTTGATAACTTTGAGCGACTGAATCATATCGAAGAGGGCTCTTATGGATGGGTTTCGCGTGCGAAGGATATTACAACTGGGGAGATCGTTGCCTTGAAGAAATTGAAGATCGAGAACTCGCCGGACGGGTTCCCAGTCACTGGGCTGCGGGAAATTCAAACACTGTTGGAGGCGCGGCACCAGAATGTGGTTTACCTTCGAGAGGTGGTCATGGGGAATAAGATGGACGAGTAGGTTCTCCCTCTTCCCTCCATCAGCTGCACTGAGCTCGAGCAAAGGCTAACAAGTTCATTTCAACAGTGTATTCCTTGTCATGGACTTCTTCGAACACGACCTCAAAACCCTACTAGACGAAATGCGGGAGCCATTCCTCCCATCCGAAACAAAGACCCTACTTTTGCAAGTCGTGGGTGGACTAGAATTCCTCCACGCCAAATGGATCATGCACCGTGACCTCAAAACCTCCAACCTCCTCATGAACAACCGCGGCGAGATCAAACTTGCCGACTTCGGAATGGCACGCTACTACGGCGACCCGCCACCAAAATTAACCCAGCTTGTCGTGACGCTATGGTATCGCGCGCCGGAGCTCCTACTAGGCGCAGACAAGTACGGAACAGAAATCGACATGTGGAGCATCGGATGTATCTTCGGCGAACTCCTTACGAAAGAACCATTACTGCAAGGCAAAAATGAAGTGGACCAAGTTTCCAAAATCTTCACATTAACCGGCCCGCCCAATTCACAAACCTGGCCCGGTTTCCGCTCCTTACCAAATGCGAAATCCCTTCGTCTCCCGCCCTCGTCGACACCGTCCTCGTCCGGGAACAACCCGCCTCTTCTTCCTCGTTCCCGATTCCCTTACCTCACCAACGCCGGTATGCATCTGTTGTCCGGCCTTTTGGCACTCAATCCGGCCTCCCGTCCGTCTGCGCAAGAGTGTCTTGCCCATCCGTATTTCAGGGAAGATCCGCGCCCGAAACCGAAAGAGATGTTTCCTACTTTCCCCTCAAAGGCTGGAATGGAGAAGAGGCGGCGCCATCATACGCCCGCCGCCCCGCAGCGGGGACAGGAAGCACCCGAGCTGGACTTTGCTGGTGTTTTTGGAGGTGCTCCCGGTGGAGATTCGGGCGAGGCTGGTGCCGGGTTCACGCTTCGCCTAGGATAGTCAAACATATATAAACAGTGACTAAAGTTTCTACAATATTTGGAAAGGAAAGATGTGCTAGTGCTGGAATATCATGAGTCGCTCTGGCTATTCAAATGAAAATGAACGAGCCTATGACTCGCACTATGCATAAACATACATTAGGAATGATACTAATAGACCATGGGCGTCCAAAGACCGGGGCAGACTTTCTTCAAGACATCATGATGTGTAACCTAACAGAAACATCCGAACGGGCGGCAGGGAACTTTCAACCCCGTCGTCGGGCTTCATAGCCAGTAGCTCTGATAACGGAAGATTCGTCCGTCGATTCACTAAGCCCTAGTCCAGTCCGAGGATCTTGCCTCATGGATCGCGAACCCCCCATTGTTGGAATCCTTTCTGTGAGCTCACGCAGTCTATCAGAAAGAGTGCGATCGAGGCCACGGCCACTATGAATGCTTCCATCACCATAGAAGCGACTTTCTACTTTAACGGGGGGCTGGTCGTCTTGGTCGGGATAGACGCCGCTCGTCTTTCCATCGGCCATGTAGTACTCGTTTCGAGGGAAGGGTGAGAATAGAAGTTCTTCGTCAATGGGAGATTCCAATGGACTCCAAATATCGTTAGAATAATATGATGGCGAGGTGATATTTGTCGGCGAAGAGCCTGGAAGGGCGTAGTTGGAGTATTCTGATCCATCGTACAAAGACTCGATCGTTCGGCCATAGGGTGTAGATGAGTTGTGACTATCGGGGGAGATTGGAGTCTCATGTGAGTGCGCCGAAAACACCATCTGGTTTTGTCTGTAGACCGCATCGGGTCTTTCACGGAATCCCTGGTCCTAGAGAAGTCATTAGAAGATCCAAGGGGCGAGAAAATACCAAGATGACTTACGGTTCTCAGAGACATATGGAGGCCAAATGAATGGCGTTTCCCAGAAGGCTCAGCCTCACCTCCGTCAGTTTGCCTAGCTTGGGCAATAGCAACAGGGTTGCACTCTGGTATTTTCAATGGGGCGCATGGGATATTCTTGGATTTATCCCGCATCTCACCCGCCCACTGATCCAATAATGCTTGATATACCCCAGGAAATGCAATTGTGACCATTTCTGAAGGCGGGCTCGGTGTCGGAGTCAAGTCTTCACGCCCACAGTAGTCGTTTTTCGGTTGATCACGATTTGGTGGTAGGTGCTCCTGAGAAAAAAGGGTTTCAGATTGCGTGACCACTGAGATAGGCGAAGAAGACAAGCTGGAACCGGTGCCCTGGAATCTAGAGACCTTCTTCCTCTGGCACGGAATCATATCCTCATACCTGAAGCTCGATGCCGGGGATCCGAGCTCGTCCCAGTCTACCGACGGCGATGGTTGTGTCAAACAGCCGTGTGTTTCGTTGGATGTATCTGTACCTAATTCTCGATTGGTATTTCCTCTCGGATTTGAATCATTAGAATGCCGGTGATATCGAGCGCTTTCTGCGATCGAGCGATACGACGGCGGTTCTTCGGATGCCATACTTACCGGTCGATCATTCATCGGCTCTGGGTCGTCATCGGTGTTGTTGTTATAGTAGTAGCTTTCTAGTTCAGCAGGGGCTGAGATGGAATTCACCAGAGGTAGAGACAGAGGAGACTCGACTCGGGGTACCAAATTTGAATCTGCTCCATCCAAAGTTGTGGCCCAGGGAGATGTTGATGTTCGGAATAAACAAACACCAAAGCTCAAGTCTTCCTGTGTTGAGTTTGAATGGCCATGTCCTCGGACATGATCTCGTTCACGCCTGGAGGCCTCGCTAGACATATCCTGGATAATAGCCTCACTGAAGTCAGTGTTCTCACGAGAGGAAAGTCGGAGTAAGCTTGCACGAATTGCCAGCAGTCCTGATCGCGCTTTGTGGATTGATCGTCGTGGGAAGTCTTCCAGCCAGGAACCTTGTCTCTGCGACTCGGAGGACGATACTTGGAGATCGTGTCGGCGTGGTGGTGGTGATCGTGGTAGGGCGATAGCTGCAGCCGGGTTATGATTTGGGTTCTGAGGGTCAAATACAGGGTAATGAATTCTCTCGAGACAAGTTGGCAGTAAGTCTGGTGGATCTGGTAAAATGGGTTCGAGCACACTATATTCATCTGCTGAGTTTCCTTCGTCAAGTTGCTATCCTGGGGAAGAATAAGAAACACACCTTGCCCTTTTCGGGGATGATCGGAAGGCTGCAGATAAAGAGAAGGTCCCACTCCGTCGCTCGCGCCTAGGGCTGCCCTCGAGCCTGTTTGAGCTCATGTTCGAAGTTGCTGGCAATCACACACCTAAGGAGAAAAGCCCGAGAACAATCAAAAGTCAAAAGTGAAAAGTGAAATGTCAAACGCCGAGAGAAACAAATGAATGAAGCGGGGAGAGAAAGAATGGATAGAGTCGAAGTCTGGAAGTGATTGTAAATGTGGTTGTGGTTGTGGTTGTGAAGGAGAACTACTCGATTAGGAAGGAACGCCTCTCAAGATGTCACTAGAGTATTCAAGTTGCCATTCAACTTGTTCAACTATTTTGGAGGGTGTTTATGGCATTCTCCGTTGTTTAATTTTGAAAGTTATATCCAGATACCTCAACTAGTCACATCGCTGAAACCTTGGAATGTTGCTCAATTCGCACCTTGTGAGGTCGGTCACTGTCGAGCTGGTCGACATGCGGCCCGGGCCTACTCTAGAGAACTCTCCCCACAACCACAGCTCATTACTATGGGGTATTAATGTGGGCCAACCGTAGCATAAGGGATGCTTTTGATACTACCAGTTGTAAGGCATATCGGATACGTATCATTCATTTGAACACAGAGTTTATTATTTATACTGGTAGTATTGATACTGTAGATAGTTCCCTTCTCTCGTTAAGGTGTAGTTAGTAACAGGTGACATGTGACATGTGACATGTGACCATCAAGCTGGCAGTGGGCTGCAGGTCAATTACATACTTCTACTAGTCAGGGTCCCTTTCAAGGTTTACCATTTGTGGGATTTAGATTTCGAGCCGCTATGATCATCCTCTAGGTACCTGATAATGACAAGACAATGCCATGTGAATCAATTGCTGAGTCAAACAAGGCAGTGTCATCTCCAAAGCCCCTATTCCTTGATCCATCATCATAATCCCCTTCAGCTTGCGCTGGAGGCGGAGCATGTGACAGATTACAGTAGTTGACGACATCGAAAGACATAGAATCTCTCAAGCAAGAAAACAGGAGAACGAACATGTGTAAAGTTAATCCATGACCTTGTTTTTGTCTGGCCGGGCCTTGCTGGGCCTTGCTGGGGGTGGTGGTGGGTCCCTGATTTCCCTGCACGTCAAAGGCGATTGGCCCCACTAAACTGGTTTGGGTGATGACGCAATATGATATCAGCGACTCTCCAGGTCAACTATAAAATACTCCCTTCCTCTCAACGAATTCATCTTTTTCATTCACCAAGAACATCTCTTCTACATCTACACTTCAAACATCTTCCACAACTTTTTTCATCAACACTCCCATCAATTTTCATAATGGAGACCGTCAAGGTACGCTGCGCCGGCCTCAATCCCAACACATGTTCATCGTCACTAACATGCAACATAGAACGCCGCTCAGTACGTCAGTGAGACCGTCCAGGGCACTGGTGCCGAAGCCTCCAAGGAGGCCAACAAGCAGGTTGCCAAGGACGACGATGCCAAGCTCGGCACTCGCGCCTCCGCCGCTAAGGATGCTATCGTCGACAAGAAGGACGAACTGTCCCACGACACCAAGGCCGATGTCAACAAGGGTAAGTTAATCAATGAACACTTCATAATATTCCAACCGGATACTAACAATTCCACAGAGAAGGCTAAGAACTAAGTCATCTGCCCAGCGCAATGATTAATCGATTCACTCCGCCGACAGATCGGATTTGCTTTACTTTACAGGCGGACATGATGCTTATGATGATACATTTTATGTAAACTACGAATAAGATACCATTTCTCTTTCGAATTCTCTCCAGTAAACATTTCATGACTGCATAGTAATAGTTACACCTCGGCACTGCTGAGCTTATGGTGAGCTCATAAGCTCACCATTCCTTGTTTTGAAGATCTTACCGCGTTGGGTTTAGCGTTCCCGTAACTTGTCCCTCACTTCGCAGCTCTCTCTTCCTCCCTCCACCCACCCCCATGACTGTATGGGTGTAATATCATACATTGCAAGTGAGATCGTCTGCATTTTCGGCCACGTTCCACTTTTACATCAGACAGGCTTAGCATTCTGTCACTCGTCGCTGTCAACATGGATCCCAATCCCACCAGAGTTGTTATTTATTCTTGTGTCACCGATATTGACGGCTGTCCTCAGCGATGCCACGTCAAAATTGCGGAAAGCTTCTGTGAAAATATCCTAAATCGTGCATTCAATAATATACTTGACCCAGACGGCTACGACCATGTCCATATTCCCGCTGATTTTGACTCTCCGCAGCCTATCAAAACATGGTTTATTCTTAGCTTGGATGTTACCCAACCACTCAAGAAGGAGGATGTTTGCAACTTCCCCATCAGGTATATTTTGCAACTCAGCAAAGTGGCAAATTGTGAGACTACCCGTCTGGCTTTTATACGATCGACCTTTCTAATTATGCAGGTTCTTTATCCTTCGCGAGTCATGGGTTGAAAAAGCGAAGTCCAGAACCATCTCATATCATTGGGGAGGTAAACAGGAGCAAAAAATTGTTGAAGATATGCGAAAAGAGCTCAATGATGGGAAGGAGTGAATATTCATGCCTGGACATCCAAGGTCTCAACGCAGCCATTCTCGGGGCTGGTATCACAGGCCCTCATATTCTAGTTGTCATTATGGAAACGATTATTGAGCGGCGATCGCGGTCTTCTGCAGACCCTCCTTCAAGGCAAGCTCAAGTCCATCTGCAACCTGATCTGGTACACTCAAAAAAGCTGAGTGTGACCCATCCCGCATGGTAAGTACCCGGGCTGCCTAAGGCCTGAGCAAAAGCCTCCTGGATTTGGAGCGGCAGGGCCTGATCTCTGTCGCAGAAGAGATAGAATGAGGGTATCTCGTGCCATGGTTCGTGCACGGACTTTTCCAAGAAGGAAGGCTTGGGGTGTGGCTTGAGGTTAGCAATAGCCTGTTGCTGTGCGGCCGGGGTCATGTCGTGATAGAAAATGGTCTCTTGCTCAGAAGAGTAGCAGTACCCGTCATCCGGGTTCTTGAAGCCATGTCAGCTAACAGAATACTAGTATATCCAAGGATATGCAAAAGAAAATACCTTCAATAACATCCACGGAAGCCAGTTGCCACCCAGAATGTCAATAATCGACTTGCCCTTGGGAGTAACAAAAGCCGCCATCCAAACCACCTGGATCACCCCACCGGGGAGACCAGCCTGAGAACCGCTGCGACAAGCCAAGCCCTTCGACGGCGCCTGCACCGACCATACCACCATAGGAATGGGTCACGACCACGATCTGTCGTCCCTGATCGGCAAACTTTTGAAGAACATTTTTCGTATAGGAAATATCAGCATGAAGACCAGTCAATGGATCAGCAGCGCCGACAGACTGATTGGCGACAGCCTCAGATTCAAATCCCCGCTTGTTCAGCAAGTCCCGAATGCCGTCGAAAGTGTCTGGGGTGTGCCATGCACCAGGCACGAAGACAAAGATAGGGCTGGTATTGGAGGTCATTTTTCTTTTGGGAAACTTGCAGCTGTCAACCAAGCAGGTGGAATTTCCCTTCACGGCGGGGCTGAATGTTGCTTAAAAGGGGCCAAGGGGCAGTTTGGATACTCTCGACAAAGCCACGTACTTGCCATCGTGCCGGGACTGAGGCACGGCAAAGAGGGAACTTCTAGTCCCCAAACTGGAGATCCCAGTCGCACCAGCCGTTTAGCTACATCCTTCAGGATTTAGTGGCTGACATGTCTCAATCGGAAGTTATCCGCGGTCCAACGGTTTTCGAGATCGCGGCGCTATCTGCTCCACTGTGCCCCAGGCGGCTTTAAAGATCTACAAGCCACAACATCAAACTAGCAGCAGCGCCGCTGTTTCACTAAATAGCGGATATAAGTGTCAACTACCAAATAAGTTAGTTTATTCGTTGACAGCAGCCCTGGATGATTCCGGCCGAGGATCACCCGTTCTTGACAGAAACCAAAATGCCCCCCTTGTGGGTGGGCTTTCAACTGCCGCGAATCCTTGGGGCCGAAAAGGGTCTCTCACGTGTAGGAGAAAATTAATTTGTGGCGTGGCTCTAAATCCTTGCATATTCTTTCGAGCCTAAATCCTCTTTGTTTCAACCCCTGCCACCTTCGTGACGGTTGAGCTTATCGCAACGTCCTTAGGCGTGCCCTTGGATAATCATGGCATCGGCGACGGATATCCACGAAAGCCGCCAGGGAGAGTTTCGTGCGCAAACAATCGCCATGACTGCTCTTGGGGTTTTCTTTGTGATTTTACGATTTATTTCGCGGTGGAAAAAGGGTCTGCAGCCTGGGTGGGATGACTATACGATTGTGTTGTCGGTCGTGAGTTTGACACAGCCTGGGTTATTACTCCAGATCTGAATTGACTTTGACGGATACAGGTGTTTCTTTGTGCAACTTGTGGCCTCAACCTAGCCAGTAAGAAAAAGAATGGCTGTGAAACATTTTTGTCCCCACTCTTCTAACGATTGTGATGCTAGTGATTAACTATGGCATGGGGCGCCATGCAGCCGCTCTGCCAACGGAGAACATCGTGACTATTGCAAAGGTATGAAGACTATGCGCCTCCCACGGAAAGTGGTACAATGAAACTTTGGCTCACATGCAAACAGTTGCTCATGGCTTTCGAATGTGTTTACTGCACAACAGTGGGGGTAATCAAAATTTCAATACTGCTTATGTACGGCCGCATATTCCCCACGCGCAATTTCCGCATCGCTTCTTATATCCTGGGTACCATTGTCGTTGGTTGGGTCATTGCTATAATATGCGTGAGCGTATTTCAATGCACTCCTATAGCCAAAGGCTGGAACATGAGTTTACCTGGGACCTGTATCAATCTCAAGGCTTCATTCATTGGAAATGCGGTTCCGAACATTGCGACAGATGTGGCTATTCTTTCGTTACCGGTACATGTTGTATGGGGTCTACATGCAAACCTCACACATCGACTGTCGGTGATTGCGGTATTTCTTTTGGGTAGCTTGTTAGTTTTCTCCTCTTCATCACCTCCAACACGGCTACTGGTTTATCGTGCCTTTATGAGGAAACGCGAGCTAACAGATACTTTCAAACGCACAGTGTTGTATTTACAAGCGCCTACCGGTTTTCAACACTCTTCGAATTTGATCCTACCGATACCCCCTGGACACTCGCCCGGGCCTGTACCTGGTGTTTGATAGAATGCTCCAGCGGAATCATTTCCGCCTGCCTACCGACCTTGCGACCGCTGTTCATGATGCTTTCATCAAAGTTCTCCAGCACCCTTGGCACTTCCAATGCACACACGAGCGATTTCCACAACTCGGCGCTTAAAAGCGCGAGCGGAGGACATTCAGCACTGCGGCCAGATTTGAATCCCAAGCAAAATATACGACTGGAGATCAGCCAAGCAGATGATGCATCGGGAGATGAGGTGCCATTAAATTCAATCAGGGTGCAACGCGATATGACCTGGCAGGAAACGATTTACGATTCCCGGAGACAGGGTGCTTAAGGAAAGTCTATACAAAAAGATTTCAATACTCAATTCATATGGCCTACAAAATTGAGCTTCCAAGTTGTATAGTATTTATGCAAATATCAATCCCGATGGATCTATACGATGAAACCTGAAGCATTTAATGAACACTCATGTAGTCTCAGTTCTTGAAAAAGAAGCCAAGTCCATGGCTCTCGAACCATTGCTTGTCCTTCGCCCAGCCTCCGATAATCATATCATTGCCAATCTTCACAACCTCTTCAATTTGTTCCTTACTACCCCATCCGGGCACCCTACTACCCCAACAGACCAGGTGAACACCAACGTGGATCGCAGTGCGGAATGCCATTTCATCACTCAACCCGCCGTATCCTTGAAGGAACCCTTCAATGATCCAAACCCCAGCCTCTACTTTCTTGAAAAGTTTCGTTTCGTATAGTTCAGCGATCATCTGCCCGAGATCTAAGGCCCGGCTACCAATTTGCGCCAGCTCCCAGTCAACAACAAACAAAGTAGTTTCCAAGTGACTACCAACCGCAGCGTTGGGAATGAGAACGCTAGGAAACACCATTTGTTAGCACCCTTGCCATACCAAGAATCCAAGGGGAAGCAGAGATTGAGCATACTTTCCGGTCCAAAAATCTCCATGAATGATTCCATATTCGTCGTCATGGTTCTGTTTCGTCAACTCGGTCGCAGCAAAGTCGCGAACTTGTTCAAACACATCGCGACTCTGATCAAGAATATCGGGGAAATTCGCAATGGTGTCAATCAACATAGTGTAATTCACCCAAAATTTGAGTTGTTTCATACTCTCATTTTCGCCGAGGGTTGCTTTGCATCCCGATTGATCTTCGTTGTTGCCCCAGTCATGGAAAGATCGCAGCCAGGATCCGAGCGCGCGACCGAGGGCTTCAGCCGAGGCTTTGGACACATCGCTCGACACATTCGAAAGCAGGAAGGTCTTCAGATCAACAGAGTCAGGAAGATCTTCAACGATCTGCGTATCTGTATCTGAATCAAAATGTAGAAGTTCAGGTGCTTTGACAGTCACACCGGCCTCAGAATATGGCGGTAGACCACTCAGTGCGCGAAGAATGGCCACTTCAAAGTGCTGGGCGGGAATTAGCTTTCATGCCCATTTTTGACATCGAATAGTTAGTGAGCACCAACACATCTCTTACTATCAATCTTGAAGTCTGGATTCGAGGCAGAATGTCCTTTGGTATGTTTGATAATGATGGATTTTGTGGATCCGGATAATGTGCCACGATATACGTAATTCGCAGTGCCACCGGAAAGTCGACTCAAAGACGAGCACGCGAAAGATGTCGGTAGGAGACTTTGAGAGATCTGATCACGCTCTTCGTCTTGGTCCGCTGTATTTGTTGCCATTTTTGAATATACTACTGAGCAAAGAAAGTATGGAAAGGGCGAAATTGGCTAGATTCTTGACGAAAGGCAATATCGGACTTGCCTGTGTTTGTGGGGAAATATGAAAAATATGTAGGATGCTTTCAATTGCAAGTAATCGCATGCCTTGTATAAAATCCAGCAGAGTGGGTCACTTTCAATTCAAACATAATGAGAATTAGTCGCTTTCTCGCACTCGCTAAGTGTTGCACGGCGGAAATGACTCATCTCGTATTCCGAATTAGGAGCCCGAAGGAGTAGCTATGGATATTACCCCGCTCAACTCAATTGCAGAATTTTGATTAAAAAATATAGAGTACACCTGGCATGGTTCATCAGAAGGCGGGTGCTAAATTGCTAGCATATTCAGACTATATTATGCATACATATTCAGAACCTTCAAATTGATACTAGTAGTGGTATATCTCAGTCCACAACAGCAATGGTGTTGTCTCTCAGTATATACTGGTATTAACTGCCCAGGTGATAGTAGCTAATTTTCAGTAGGAAGGCTTCCTGTAATAGCCCAGTATACATTATAATTATAGCCCTGGGCGTCATAGAATGCACTCAGCGGAACATTCTTATCGTCAGCGAGAGAGGTGAATTGGAGGTCAGAATCATCCATTCGGTGAATAGAGTCAAGAGCAAGAGATGGGATACTGTTCAGTACTTGGTCGCCATAATTTCCACACAAGATGGTCGGGCCATAAGCAATTGCGGCCATACTTGAATTGTCGTTGGCAACTATCGTCCGTAATCTCATGGGGAGGTGAATTTCGACAACATCTCCATCAGTCCATGAGCGCGAAATTTGAGCATATGATCCCGGAGAAACCTGAACATTAGATAAAACTTCACCATTGACTGTTATCACAACATCTGACGTCCAGCTTGGAATGCGAATGTTCATTTTCCAGTTACCACTGCCAGACACTTCCAATCTTGATTTGTCGCTGACGGGGTAGGATGTAGATTGTTTCAGGGTAATTCCCATCTCCGGCCACAGTAGAATTGAAGACATAAACAGATTGATAAACAATGTTGAGTCGCTGTAGAAATAGACCGAGTCCATCAATTTAGTGTTCGTTTCTATCGCTGTACCTTGACAGCACCAGAATGAGTCGTAATCTGTACTCCAGGTACCGCCACCCCATGCAGGTCCGACGCCACGACGACCACCAGCGTTGAGAGGAGTGAAATAAGTAATATGGCCATGCTCACTATCGGGATTCTGTTGCCCTAGGAGGTGATTGAGTAATGCATTTTCATAGAAGTCAAAATATGCACTATTCTCAGGATCTACAAGCCACAACTCGCGAGTTAGCTTGAGCATGTTATAGGAATTACATGCTTCACAGGTGTCACTCGTAAGATATGCCGCAATGGCGTTTGGGGCGTGAAAATGTTCGGCTTGACTGTTACCACCGATCGCATACGTGTGCGCGTTGACATTTATTTTCCAGGCGTTGCGGGCAATATCCAGGTATCGAGAATCTCCCGTAGCTTTGTATTGGCGAACTGCCCCGATCCATTTGGGAACTTGAGTATTTGCATGGAGACCATCAAGCTCATCTTTGTCGCCTGCGAGAGGATTAAAGACTGCCGCATGATCAAAGCGCTTGGCAACGGTGAGCCATTTATCGTCACCAGTTTGGTGGTAGATGTCAGCCAGAACTTCATTCATACCGCCAAATTCAGTTTGCAGTATTTCTTGCATTTTATCGTAGCTCAAGGAAGTCGTGCGATCATCGACCCACTGAGCCATGGAAAGAAGGACATCCCGAGAAGTTGTATCATTTACAAGGCGCCAGGTGTCCAGGAGACCCGCCAGTGTCTTGTGAATAGCATAATAAGGAACGTTGCCGTTAGAAAGAGTGACGTTCTCAAGCTTTGCGAAGTCTGATTCTGGGAAACCAGATAAGTAACCATCTGTGAAGCCGGAAGCTTTGTTGTTGGCTTGGCACTTTTTCAACTCCGCAACAAAGTAAGTTGCTCGATCGTAGCATGTTTGGTCGCCGAGTACAGCATAGCATTGAGCCCAAGCACTGAGAAAATGGCCCTGAACATGCGAACGGAATGGGAAATCTGGAGAATCCCATCCGCCGTTAGGATCTGCCTGTTGTGTATCCAGACCATGATTCACCCGGAAGACATAAAGAAGCCTTTCAACATCTATGTCCTTCAAGTAGTTCAAGGTGCGGCCTTGATTATCCAGAAAGCGATCTTGGGACAATTGCACATTCCCAAGATCAAATGAAAAGGCAAGTGCGCCAATATCTGGTTTGATAGCCGCATTTACCGGAGAGCAAAATTGAACTAAAATACAAAGAAATATGATCAAAATATTTTGCCATTGTGACGCTTTGGAGTGCAGCATTATGGGCTGCGCGAACGGCCAGGGAGTGGAGATCCTCATAGAAAGAGTGATTGATGCCAAGATGGAGAAACTGCTATGAGTGTTTCAGTTGCCTTGTTCAGACATTATTGATGCGACTTGGAGAGCCTTGAAAACTTGAAGGGACTACTTATAATCATATTCCAACCTCCGGTGGGATAAGCCATAGGCTGATTACGGGTATATACTAGCATATCCCAGGAATGCCATTAAAGTTACTCAGTGTGTAGTACCCTTGCTAGCAAGCAGTCTTCTATTAAAATGCCAAAGAATATATGATTGAGCAAGATCGGCATTTGGTGAGGGGAAATGCCAATCCGGGCGCCCACCGGGGAATTTCCACTAACCCCACGGTCAGTCTTCCTGAGATGGGAAACTGTCCGGTGGGCTTGTCGATCATCCGGCGTACCTTGAGCACTGATCTTGTGACCCCTTTTGCCTTCCAACGGTCGAGATTTTGATAGCCTGATTCGACAAGAATGCGCAGATCATAATCCGTCGATCAGCTCGGAATCACTCCGAGAAGCGGTGGCATGCAGTGTTCAATGGGGCTTACAACAACGTGAGACACATTTCCCCCAGTTTCTCAAAATTCTCTGACAAGCTTCTTCTCAAAAGTGCAATTGATCGATGGGAGACGTCAACCCCTGCATATTTGCCGGATGCAGAAGCTGTCCGCTATATGCACTAGGACAAGTCAATTCGTTTCGTATTGCTTACAAATTAGCAAGAATAAATTAAATGATGTAATTTAATTTCCAGGCATGAAGCTCAATCATTCAAACGGCCGAAGCTTCTACATAGGATAATTCTCCTATTGTTTACTCCTCACTGATTACGGTGAACTACCTCCGCGGAGAGATTTTGTTTCATGTCGAACCGTATAAGGTATTTTGATGGTATCGGTCAACTATTCAACTGGAACAATTATGTCTTCGACATTGAACTTTCTGCGAGTAGTTGTCTTCGTGTTCATTTTTTGGTTCCTGTACACATATTGCCAACGCAGAATAGTCGACAAACATCATCGGCCCTTTTGTGTCGATGTCGGATTAAAATCCGGTATCTATCTGCAAGAGCAAAAATTTTCATTTTCTCTCTTCTCGAAAGACTCTCAATCTCCAAGGGAGTGACGGGTACTTATGGCGCTAGTACTTATGAACATGAAATCCTGTTGAAAATAAACACGAAAACTTAATATTATTTTCTTTCCGGAGAGCAAACCTAGAAAAGCCTAACATTGGTATTATTTCTATTGCCTTAGTGGGAAGTTGTCGGCCCATTAGGCTAGCCTTGTACTTCCGCTGCGGTTCTAGAACTTGACGGTAGACTTGGCGACTTAGGTACCCACCGCAAAGGAGAGTTTCTAGTCTTTACAGGCGATACTGAGTAAGGCCCTATGGTTCATGGAAGAAGCTGTGAATTGGTTTGTGCTCGTGTGATGGCTCGTGTGATGGCTCGTGTGATGGTCTTCTTGTTTGAAAATTACAGATCTCTACGAAATCCCACATTCTAATCATCCTAGTTTCAGGTGCCACTAAAAGAACCCCTTCGAGCGACGGTGGGAACATTGGCGGGTCCGCAATTCAGGTAATTTCTCCTCTCTGGCTTTTGTCCATGCTTCTCGGTGGGGAATCAAGGGTATTTGTGCACCGATAAGCAGATTTACCGGCATACGAGAGCCGAGGTCTCCGCAGCTGATCACAAATCAGTAATTTGTGTGAGAGTGACAAGAAATCAAATACTCAAAGCATTTGAATCGCAGGGAATAGGCGATTAATTTCTTTATTTTTGTGAAGTAAACATGACTACTCAAAATTTGGTACCTAGTGCGCCACACTACCTTCTGACGATTTCAAGGCGTAGAAATCATTCAATCAAGTTCCTGTGGCTTTCTAGGTAAAGTTAAAAGGGGCCCAGGTCGTTTGTACCTCAGTGTTCATTGTGGATACTCGGGGCACTGTTCAGAATTTACACTGGTCTAGGCAGGAGTAAACGGATGATTTTCCCGATCCAGATCTCCCCGAACGTACCGAGTCCCAGCCCTAGCGCCGCCGGTCTCTCCGATCCATTATTTGAGGCTCAATCAGAACCCAGTATTCTAATTTGGGTCAACACCTCAGCTGGAAACTGTGCAGATGGATAACCTTAACCCTGGGTCACACGTGGATTAGTTTATTTATCTTCTTTAGTGAAACAATTCCCCACGTTGCTCATTTGAGACAATCATGCCGATGCAGAAACATAAACCAGCTGTTGCCCCCGGGCACCCGTGCGAAATTCTCCCTTTTTCCAAGAACCACCTGGCACATATTCATGATGAGAGCTCGTTTGTATCTACTTAGCCTCCTGGCTTTGTTAGTAGTGGGGGTACGAGCGGCAAGCTCAACTGCAACACAGTTCCCTTCTTGTGCTGTGAGTACATCCGAATCTTGAAGGGTATTTTGACTACCCAGCGCTGACAATCCTCCCAGCTGAACTGCAATGAGAAATTGTTTTCAAGTTGTTCCCTCGTCAATAACAGCACATGCTTCTGTGCTAGTGACTCGCGCCCATCTGCTTTACTGAACTGTGTCGAAAGCAAATGCACAACCAAGGAGTTCTTTAGTGAGTTTCACTAGCGTTTGATCAGCATCTTCTCAATTTACCTAACACCCTCAGCTACAAAACGGTTGTATGAAAAAGAATGTGATATTACGCCGCTCGAGGGCCCTCCAGTGGTCGGCGGGTCAACTCTGACTCCTTTAATTCTTGCTTCGATCTTCTTCGTGGCAAGGATATTCGCCAAGAGCAGCGGACTTGCGGGCGGGTGGGGATGGGATGACTATACAATTATTGTTTCATATGTGAGTCGGTCGTGTCTTGTCTCATTCTTGGTATGCTAACGACGGATAGTTCATGGGCCTTGCAATTTATATTATCCATGTCTATAGTAAGTTGATGCTCTCTCCGACGTTTCTCATATAAGATCTGACAAAATGCAGTGGTACGATATGGCTTCGGTCGGAATATTTGGGACATTGATTTCCCAGACATCACTGAGTTTTATAAGGTTCGATCTCTTCTCTACCAATCAAATCCTGTGGTACTAACAAAATTCAGCTTTTCCAAGCCCTTGCAGTAATGTACAAGATCCAGATATCTCTCGCCAAAATCTCGGTTGTTCTCTTCCTACTCCGCATTTTCCAAACTCCGATGTTTCGCTATGTCGCATATGGTCTTATCGGTTCAAATGCTGCGATCGGTATTACATGGGCTTTCGTGGATTCATTTCGTTGTCTTCCCGTGCATCTCACCTGGAATGGTTGGATGAACGAAGAAACCGGACAGTGCATCAATTTCATCAATTCTATTTTGGTCAATTGCCTCGTGAACATTTTTGTGGATGCGCTTACTATTGTGTTGCCGGTTTGGGAAGTGAGCAAGCTGCAAATGCCGCTGCGAAAGAAGATCACCGTGGCACTGATGTTCATTGTTGGCTCACTGTACGTGCTCCCAAATTTTGCTTCCAGGGGCTAAAAAAGTACTAATCCGTATCACAGCCTCACCGTTATCGCCATTATCAGGGTCATTGTCTTCTGGAACAATCGTTGGGGTGTCAACCAGACCCTCGGCCTTTACCCACTCATCTACTGGTCTGTCATCGAATGCCAGATTTCTATACTGTGCGCCTGTCTGCCTGCATCGAGAGCCCTTATTGCTCGTTGGTTTCCCGCATTGCTGGGTGGCTCTTCTCGAGAGACATACGCCAGGACATATGGGTCTGCGGCACCAGGAGGTCGAAGCAACAGAGCGAATTACGGCCAGGGCAGTGCAATAAATAAATCAGTCACCTATTCTGTCAAGTATGCGGCACGGTCACAGAATGATGATTCTAACAGCGACGTGGAGCTAGTTGACAGAGACACAAGACAGAGCCATCATTAGTCAAGTTCTCTACTATATTTTATTTTGTGTACAGAAAGCCATGTGAGTTAATGAGCTATATAATAGTATGATATAATGAGACTCAGCGAGTATAACATGCGTAGTGCCAGCGTGTATTCATTAAGCCAGAGACCTTGGACAACTTTTGCTATCCAATCGTACGATATAAGAACATGAGTGTAAACATGAAGAATGTGAGATCCCTCTTGCAAAGAAACATTGTCTCTCTGGAGCCTTTAAAAAGAGCAATTGAATATTCTATTTGATTATGAATCTGGCATAACTATCACGGTCTCAATGAAATCAACATTTGCATGTAAACAAACTCTATGTCAAACTCTAACTCTATCGCTCAAATGTACAGGAAGTGATGGCAAACTTTGCAGTTAGGCTTCTTCGTCTCAGCATTTAACATAAATCTTCCCCATCAACCAATCAATGATCCTGCTGGCCAGGATGGCCTAGAAAAGTATTGGAAATCAAGCTCACTGGGATCCCGCGGTCTTGAGATCCAGGTAAACCTTGCCAAGGTTGAGATTCGCCGGTCGAAACGGATATACTGTCTCTCCAGACTCATTCTTTTCCTCATAGGTGGTGGTGTGTACCTTCCCAATGACATTTGCTTTAAACTGCGCCGGGGGAGTCGACCAAACCTTGAGGACAGCTTCAGAGCCAGTCTCAATTTGGATACCCCGAAAACCTAGCATTGCTGAGCGTTTCATCATCTCTTCGGCCAACTGTCTCATGAGTCCACGGCCTTCATATGGTCCGCGCGTGCTGGTGGCATTGCGCATCAGTACCTGGCCGCGACTAGTGGGTTTCCATGAGGCAGGGTCGCGCGTGTCTAGTTCGCTTAAAGCCTTGTATGCTGTTGCGAACAGGGGTAATGTCCCGATGATCGGCTTCATCTTTTCCATATCTAACTCGTCGATACCATCATAAGCCATAGCAACTGAAACCAATGGGAAATCCATCTGGTTCTCCAGGTCGCGCTCAGTAGCACCCGTGTCGTCAAGATCCCAGTACAGCTTGCCCCCAGTAGCTGCAGACTCTGG